TCCACATAAAATATTATGGCTGTTTTTTCTACCTCAATAAATATAAATTTCTTAAATACAAATACTTAAGTAAATATTAATTTATTTAAGTATTTACTTCCTTTTATGTTTAATTTTATAAGATTTGGATTATAAGATACATGTTGCTCTTTATAAATTTTTATATTACATTTATAAAAATCTCAGAATTCCTAATATAAATACTCATGTGGAAAAGAATAAAAAATAATTATTGAATGTCCATTGCTATAGGAACTAGAGCTCAAAACAAATGAAGTAATGACATAGCCCTGTCCTGGGCTATGCAGAAGAGGCGTGGGAAGCTTAGCAGGAGAGAGAAGATGAGTATTATTATTCCTTACTAATAGATGTATATGAAAGAAGCTGTGTCGTCAGAAAGATCACATGTGATTTGAAAAGCATAGAAGATTTAGAAGGATATATTTATTGAGCTAGAAAAATAGCCATGATATTTTTGACTTTCTAAAGAAATGCAGAAGCATGGATTGGCAAGGCAAATATTTACCATCCACGATAGTTTATAATAATAGGGAAAATTGACAGAGGCTTAATTGCAGAGTGATTAACCACCTTTATTGTTGATTGCAGAAGCTCTTACACTGCATCAGTTTTTAAAAATGTTCCCTGATGTTTCAGACCCAGAGTTATTTGTTGCTAGAAACTCATATTTACCTACTAGACAGATGCTATGTGGAGAATGTGGGCTGTACTTGGGGAAGGACATCTAACTCAACTTTTGCAGGCTAATTCAGCAATTTCTTTAAATGATTTTATTTTTTCCCAAAGTGATTATCTAAGCTGTTATTTCAAAACATAATTTAAATACTTCTGTTAGCAATAAATTCACAGGAATCCATAAAACCTAGGGTGTTTCATAGTATTATCAAACATTTGTTGAGTTTTCTACTAACAATCTTCTAGCCACTGTATAGAGCCTAATATTTGTGATACCTATGTAGAACGGCTCACGACCTAAATTTTGTCAAAACAGAGTGAGAATAAATTCACAAAAAATCAAAATTATGTTCATATGGTTAAATAGTCAAGCAATACACGTGGATGTTTCCCATTGAAATGATTTACAAATATCTGTGGTAACAATATCAAAGAGAGAATTCAAATCCTTCAGTTAGCAACCCTTGCAATTATTTTTTAGCTTTATAGGGTTAACCTTATTGAGGTTGATTAAATTCAAGCTGTGATCTTTCATAAAAACTCAATGGAGGGTCCAGATGGCCCAACAATACCTCCTTTTGTGAGAGGAAATAACTTGAAGATTTTTGTCTAATTAAAGTATTTGTGCTGGTGGGACCTGATTGAATTGTTATTCCTTTAAGAGGAGTCTGCATTACAAATAATCTTCATAAAATACTATTTTAAAATGTAGTGCTGCTTTCACTATTTTAGTTATGTCCTAGGACCAGAGTGGCATGAGCATGATACCATCTTTGGGATTGAAAATACGATTCTGGAAAAATCAAGAAAACAAGGTTCTATGGAACAAAGTGCCAGGAAGGTCAATGCTTTACTTACTTTCCTCCTGTTCTAGGACCTTACTCATAATGACCTTAACTTGTATCAAAATATTTCCTATTGTAACAGCCAAGACATAATTATCACCCTTTTTTCCATGTTGAAACTATTGGTAGCCATAATACAAATCTGAGGAAAGCCCTTAAGCACCTTAACTCAGCAAATGGCTGCTGTGGTTCTGGGTACATCATGATTTGCCTACCTGCAAGAATAACACCTCATCTTACCCTGCCTCCCCACCTGAGTAATCCTAACTGTTCAAGACAGGGAGGAAGAGAATTATAGGCAGGAGGTGGAGATAGAGTAGGGGATGGAAATGAGAAAAACAGTAGGAAATTAATAAATAATCTTACAACTGCTTTGAGTATTTACTTACATCCTTATTATCCAACTTTTTGTGTATTTTGTTAGTAATCAAGGTGACATTCTGAGATAGCTTGTTCCCCAAAAGCTTGTCTTGTATCAGACAGGCAAAAATATTGGTGGATTTTGTCATAAGTGGAAAGGTCCTATATTTGTTCTTGAGGCTACAGAAGCCAAAGTTGTTGTAATCAAAGGTTTCCAGCAGGGGGTGTAGCCACTTCTATAGGGTAAGTTCTTTGGAAGCCATATCACACTTATGTATTTGAATATTGCAGTGTTACTCCTGATGGTAAAGGCTGGAATTATAACATTTTTTTTAATGACTGTCACCTCTTTTGATCCAAAAAGACCATGCATATTAATACTTTATTAGGATATGTTGAAGAAGCAGAAATTTGTGGAGAAGAATATTTAAATTAAAAACCTAAACTGCCTGACTGAAATCTTATTCTGCCAATTTTTTCAAAGTAAACGAAGTACAAAGCTTCGGGTGATTTTAATTATCCAGTACAGCAGAACAAGTGCTTAAATTTTTTATTCTAGATAAGAAGAATAGCTGATATGAGAAGGCTTGGTAATATTTATTCCATCTCTCCCCCATATTTGCATTGTATAAAGAATAAACTTCTTATTTTTCCCAAAATATTCCCTTTTGAGTGGGGAGGGTAATGTTTTAAAGTGTGGTGTGGCTGTGAGGTGTGACTCCTGATATACTTTAAAAGATGACATTTATCCCCCCTCCATTATTTGTAGATACATAAGCAACCACAGATTTTTGGCTCCCAATTCCCATTTTCAGATTTCTATTGGTATAGAAAACAGTGAACTTTATTTTTTGGAAAAAGTAAGTAACATAAAAATAATACAAATTGTAGTTTATTTGTAGTTTTAGACTATTAATAAGAAACAAAATCCTAAATTTCTAAAATCCTATAATTGAAAACTACATCTTTTTTATCTCAGTGTTCCTTTTAAACACCCTGACTTATTTAGCTCCAGTTTATAATAATATACATTCATGGTTAAAAATTTTCTAATTATTTAGGAAATAATTTAAAAATTGTCTCTAGGGTGGCCACTTATATAGTACTTAACATTAAATAAGGTTATGACTTTGAATTGGCTTATATATTTTATGGACTTTCAGTACAAAAATACAAAAAAAAAATGCATTTTAATACATTAACTTTCCTATATAAGTGGTTGAATACCAATGGGATTAGTAGCACATTTTGGTGGTTTGACCTCCCTCTCCCCAATTTTCTTCTCTTTTTTTCCCCCTTTCTCCCTGTGTTTATTTTCATTGAAAGTTTTTTCCAGTGTATTTTTCCTTGTTTATCATTTGTACCTGAAAGAAAGAAGTACCTACAGACCTTAACCAGTCTTAAATCTGCTTGGTAACATTCAGATGCAAGGGAGTGGCTGGAATAAGGAATTATAGGGAGTAAGAGGCACATAGAGAAATTAGAAATGCCTTTTCTGCTAATAAGTTTACCTTTGAGAAATATGGAGAGTAGTGGGGCAGGGGGAAGGAACAAACGAACAGAACTTCTGCTGGAATATTGTGACAGATTTACTGACAAATATTTTCTAACAGATTTTTACCAACAGGCAGTTTTTGTTTTCTTTACTGACAGACCGTAAATGTACTCTGGTTGGCAGCAGCTGCACCATTATAACACTAAAAAGCAACCTTGGCTAACTTCAGTATCTTATGTAACACAAGAAATAAAGAATAACTTGAATTTCAGAGACTTTTTTTTATCTTAACTTTACTGATGATAAACAATTTTCAATGCAGGATATAAATCTTTCTCCAAAGAGAAATTCTCTCCAAATTACTTTTTTCTTTTAAACTTTACAACGAATTGGGGCAGATTAGTGTTTTTGCTCATTATTTTATCTACTGACAACTATTTCAAGACCTCTGTGTAAGACAGAGTCTGATGACCTTGGGAAAGTCACAGGACCTCAGTTTCTTTATTGGTAAGAGGAAAGCATTAATTTTTACCATTCTTTCTCCCTCTACTATTCAATGTCAATGCACAGATGAAAACTACATGGAAAATCCAGTGTACCCCCAAACCAGTATTCAAAAAATAATGAATATATTTAAAGCAGTATAATAAAAGCCAAAAGCCAAAAGTTCTTAAAGTTGGGCTGCTGGTGGTGTGAGCTGGGGTCTTTTGCATCCTAAATTAACCCACTCTTCCTCAACTTCCACAAGAACGGACTGGTTCAAGGGCCTGCGCCCCGTGCCGTGTAGGAGAAATGGTCTCTTCTAGCCCTTGAGGAGTTCTGGTTTCTGGGGTGAGTGTGGCACCAGGTCCTAGGAGGGTGATGTCTATAAGTTGGCGAGCAATTCTCCAGGCTGAAAACTGGCAGCACACCCAGAAGCACACACGCGAACATGCCCCGGCGAACGAGCTTGGACACATATTTTCCTCCTTTGCATTCTTTAATGCTCAGAGACCATAGAGGGATTTATCGAGAAGCATTCAGTGCCCGTGCCATGTTTTACAACGGCTAACACAACATCAGGCTCCTTTTCAGTATTGCGGTTTGTTCTGAGTTATGGCCAGAAACAGAAACGAAGGAAAGGGAGAAAGCAGGGGAGGTTCGGAGACTACAGCGCAAGGCATGCAGCTTCTAAAGCGTGGAGGATGGGACCGAGGAGGAGCAGAACACGGAGAAAGAGGAAAGCTAAGGGAAAATACTCACGCCAATGGGTAGAAGGGAAAAGGTGAGAAGGAATGGAGTAGGAGAGGGAACCAATGGATGGGAGAGGCGGAGGAAGAAGGGGGAGGGGCAGAAGCCAATGGGGGAGCGGGGGAGCGAGGACGCGCCCCGCGCGCTCGCTCCCCTCCCTCTGGCTCCAACGCTCGCGCCTTCCCAGGCTCCCGGGAGACGAGGGCAGGGGCGGGGCCGAGCCGGGCGCGCGGCGCGGGAGGCGTCGCGAGGTGAGGGGCGGCGGGGGCGGGGGATTGTGGGGCTGGGAGCGCGCGCGCGCGCCCGCGTCTCCCGTCCCGGCTGCGCCGCCGCTCCGCCCCCGGCCGGGTGTGTGGCTGTGCACGCGCGCGTGCGTTCTGGCGGTGCGCGCCGGGAGAGATGCTGAGGTAAAGTTCGGGAGAGAGGGAGAGAGATCCGTCAGCGCGAGGGAGCCCGAGTGGCCGCCATTACTGAGCCCGGCGCGGCGGCGGGCGCTGGGGAAGGGGGGAGGGAACGGGGCCGCCGCTGGTGGCTGGGAGGGAGGGCGGGTGGGTTACCAGGCTGCGGGAGCCGTAGGGCTCTGGGTTTCGGGGCGTGTGTATTGGGGAGGGCGGGAGGAGGTGGCTGAAGGGACGCGGCGCTCGGTGAGCGCGCCGGGGGCGAGAGGCGAGCTGAGTGAAGGAGGAGGCGGCGGCGGCAGGAGCGCTCCCCAGGAATGTCGCTGCCGCCGCCACCGCCGGGGCCGCTGCCGTTGAGGAGGAGCCGGAGGAGACCGACGTTATTAGGTAGGACCTTGCAACCCCCAGCTCCTCGGGCCTGCCCGTCCCCTCCCCTCCCCTCCCCTCCCCGACAGGGACCCTCCCGCCGCCTGCTGCCCCGCTCGGTCGCAGCCGCCGGTTGTAACCAGTTCGGGGGGCTGGGGCCCCGCAACCGCGGAGGGGAGCCCGGCGCCGCGTTCGGTTCTCGCAGGCCGGACGGGGGTCGGCTGCTGCGGCGGGCATACAGTCGGCTTGAAGGGCAGAGAGGCCGGGGAGGGGGCGCTTTCTCCACAGGTGACGGGGCTGGGGTCGGCGGAGGCCTGGTGGTGGCCCGGGATCGTGGCGGCCCCGCCAGGCGTCCGCTCTCGCTCGCCGCCGTGACTTGCCCTGGTCTGGGAGGGTGCGTGGGGAAGGAAGGTGGCGGTGTCTGTTGGCTGGGTTGCTGCTCTTAACGAGTTCCACCTGGAAGAGGGAGCGGGGTGGGCGCAGATTCGCGGAAACAAGATCTCGGTTGCAAACTTAAACGCCTTTCAGAGGGATCGGCCCTTTCACTTTTTCGTTATCTCCCCGACTCCTCCCTGGGTTCTCTTCAGATTCCCTTCTGCTGCTTCAGCTTGGGGTAGGGTGTGAGAAGTTGCACTGCGCAACGAAAACACGGAGTCCAGTCGGTTGACTTCGTAAGGTTGGGGCTTTTCTATTGAGTTTTAGGTAGAATAACCTCTAGATTCTCCCTGTTTCCACTAAAGAAAAGTATCGGGGTGGGGGTGGGGAGCTGCGCGGGAGCGCGCGTGCACTTATCCACACATAAATACACACTCACACCCTCCCTCTACAGTGTTATTAGAAATGCAAGTGAGGTGGAGGCTGTGAGTGTAGCTGAGACCGAAAGGTGTTCGCAAGTAAGGGCAAACTATTCAGACGGTTAGTAAAATTCCAAGAAAGTTGGAGGGAAGACGCTTATACTTTTACCATATGATAGAAATGCAGTTTGGACCAATACTTAGAAAATGGGAATTTAAATCTACACCAGAATAGCCATACACCTGGGTTTGTGCGCGCATTTTAAAATTCATATTAACATCCATAATTTACTTTTTCCTTTTAGATAGGAAGCAGTGACAACATTTTTTAAATGTTCGGATGTAAAACAGTAGAATACCTCTGTATTAACGAGCCTTTGCATGTGCTGCCTTCTACAGGTGTTGGGGAAGGGAGGAGGTTTGCCGGTTCCACTTAAATCTCAAACCAGTGTTCTGTTCGAACAGAATTTTAGGGAATGTTTATTTGTATTGAGGATCTCATTCACTTTTTGGAAGATTTCTCTAAATCTACATTTAAAATTACTTCTAGCAAAAATTTCATCTAGATGGCAGCTATTAGGAAAGATATTTTGGTTTAAAGCAGATTAGTAAAATGTGTTTGGAAATGTTTTACTGCAGATTCCAGTTATTTGTACTTTAATATGATAAAATGATATTCTTATTCACTATTTTTAAATATACATACTAATGGTGTAGGTAACCTACTACACATTTTTTTTTCCAGAGCAAATTTTGTCCATTTTAAATTACTTTCTCTCTCTTTTTTTTGCTCTTTCATCTATTTTTTGTAATTGACCCACATTTCTAGAATCTGGTAAATAGAACAGAGGAAGAGAGTGTTTGGGTCACCAAAGACTTGCAAAGGCATTGGAACACTTTATGACTAAAAATATTGAAAGGTTAGAATGCATAATATTTTGCCTTTCAAGAAATAGCGTAATAGATCTGATTGACTCAAAACAGAATCAGAGTACAGATTACAGGTAATTGTTGATTTGATAATTTTGCATAGGCTACATTTTTTAACCCAGATCAGCATCTTACTTTACAAATCTCTGTATATGAATTATTAAGAGATATTGGTAGTGGGATTGATTACACTTTGATACTAAGAATAGTTACAGAATTGTTATCTTTATCAATTTTTTTTTAGTATCCCTCCATTTAAACTACATTAGCAACTCAAAAAATGTGTTACTAATTTAATATCTTAATTCTGTCATAAGGTATTTACCCTAAATGTTTTGAAAACCATCTCTCCTCCTCTCCCCCTTTTTGTTTGAAAGGTAGATTTAGTAAACACACACTCTTGGAGAAAATGAATTGTTTTGACCTTGAAAGTTCAGATTTTCTAGTGAATAAAATATTTGCTTTCCTTTTTTGGATTTGAAGTTATGGTGCAGCTTTAGAGTAATAGTTTTTTATTTATTTTTTTATTTTTTTTTTTAATTTTTTATTGTTGGCTGTTCAAAACATTACATAGTTCTTGATATATCATATTTCACAATTTGATTCAAGTGGGTTATGAGCTCCCATTTTTACCCCATATACAGATTGCAGAATCACATCAGTTACACATCCATTGATTTACATATTGCCATACTAGTGTCTGTTGTATAGAGTAATAGTTTTTTAATTGAAGAAAAAGTATTTTTCATTAAGACTGTACTTTCAGCATTAGGATGTAAGGTAAGTGTTGCCTTGGTTTTCACAGCTTAAATATGAAATAGCATAATAGGGATTTTCTTAGTAGTTACTGAATAAGTTTTATCACAGCTTAAGTTCCACAGGTACTATTTGGGCTTTAAGATTCCATTGTTTTTTCTTTATACATCAAGAAGGGATGCAGATAATTGACTCCAGAAGCATTGTTCTGTTTTAGTAATACTAGGTTCCTGAAAGATGTCTGTAATATACATTTAAAGTTTACCAGCAGAATTTGATTTCTAAAAGAACTGTGAGAAAATTTGATAAAGGATCCATCATTTGGTAATTTGAGTAATGAAGCTCTTATCTGTTTATGTGTAGACTTTTGTGGATTATTTTAATCCAACTAGGAAAAACAGTATTAGAAATTAAGAAAAATGGTTATATGTTCACACTTAAAATATGCTAAGAATTTTAAATGTGAACTTTAAATGATTTTCAAATTCTGTTTCTTGGTTCCCTTTGGTGTTTTTCCTAAATGCCTGGAGACTTCCTCTTAGGAACAACCTTTCCAAACCAAGGCAGCTTCTATTTTTATCTATTACTTAAATACAAGAATTACTTTTTAAAAAGTTTATTTACATTAAAAAATACTAAAACCAGATTTGTTATCATTAATTCAGATTAATTTTCTTTAGCACTAACTATGTGCCTCACCCTAGGAAATTAAGATAAATTAAGGTGTAGCTCAAGCTTGAGCCTTAATTGGAGAGGTAGTAACTATCAAGGAGTAAATAATACTAAAAGATGCAAAAAAGAGAACAGCTATTTGTATCAGGGCCTGTTTTGTTTAATGAAATTAAACACCAATTTCACTGCTTTAACTACAAGAGGGAATTTGAATGTGTGACAAGCAAGGAGTCTTTTTTAAAATTTTCCCACTGTTTTTAGATGGCTCACTGTGGATTATAATGCCTGAGAATATGCAATGAAGTGGAACAGATTGTCAATTTTTGACGCCACCTGTAGGATTCATTCCTTATATTAAAGCTAATTAATTGGGAAAAAGTTACATATAACTGTAATTTCATAGTTAAAATATGAATAATATGTGTCAATTGGTTAGATTCCTGTTTTTTCTTATGAAGAGTTAATGGTAAGTATCAGATTAGATTTAGCCTATTTTTATAATCCCAGACCATTATTTATTGAGCAGCTAGGCACTGTTGAGTGATACAACAAAAGAATAACATTACTTCATTAAAAGCTCCCGTTAGAGCTTACAGTTTTGATGGTGAGATCAAGAGACCACGTGTTAAATGCCAGTTTGGTACAGAATAGAAGCTCTCTATATAGGGAAGTATATTACTGATTTAAAATTTAGTTTATAAAGGGAGATAGGTAAAAGAGACAGTATTTAAAAGTAGGTAAAGATTTGGGGTAGTGGTGGGGGGGCACATTTAGGTACATTAATGACAGTTGGGACCAGAAGTGCTAGGAAGTCAGGACAAATTGGCAAGTGAGATGAAAATATAAGGTAAAGATGTAAGAGCATTAGTTTGTACCTAATAAGCCAAATTGAAAGGTTTAGGGAAGTATTAATGCAAGGATAATAGATGGGGTGGTGAAGAAAAAATACATGTAACTGCTTTTCTAGTTGCTGTTTTAGACATTGTCAGATAGAAAATTGTCCATTTTTCTCTACATCTCTTTCCAGTGCTATGATAATTCCTCTTGATGTCTTTATTGTTGACTTTAGATAACAAATAGAAAATTAATATTGCTATTAATCTGGGGAATTGAAAGATGCAGATTTCTGCTCTTCTCTGCTATGTTCCATTCTTCCCTATTATTTGACTGTATAACTTTTCAGATGCTTCAAAGAATATTAAATGGTCTCTTGGATAATTTTCTTTGTTTTACAGTCTTGAAGTTTACGTTCTACATCTTTGTATGTGTGTGTGTGTGTGTGTACATGTGTACGTACGTACTAAGGATTGCACCCAGGGATGCTTTAACATTGAGTCACATCCACAGCCCATTTTTTCTTTATTTTTTTATTTTGAGACAGGGTCTTACTCAGTTGCTTAGGTCTTCACTAAGTTGGTGAGGCTGATTTTAAACTCATGATCCTCCTGTCTCAGCCTCCCAAGGCTGGGATTACAGTTACAGACATGCATC